ATATTTGGAGATAGAGCCTTTAGAGAGGTAAAGTTAAAGGAGGCCATATGGGTGGACCTAATCCAATAGGGCTGGTGTCCTTATAAGAAGAAGAAGAGGGGCGCTTGGGTGGCTCATTTGGGTTAAGCGTCTGCCTTCAGCTCAGGTCATGAGCACAGGGTCCTGGGTTCAAGGTCCTCTCAGGAGGGAGTCTGCTTCTCCCTCTCCCTCTGCTCATCCCCTGTCCCCTCACCCATGTTTGTGCATGCTGTCTCACAAATAAATCAATAAAGAAGAAACCCCAGTATGAGTGCACAGAGAAAAGGCCATGTGAGGACATAAGGTGGCTTTCCATAACCAGAAGCATGCCTCACCAGACACCAATCCTGCCAGCACCTTTATCTTGGCCTCGCAGCCTCCAGAACTATGAGAAAATAAATTTCCACTGGTTAAGCCACTCAGTCTTGTCATGGTGTCTTGTCATGGTAGCTGGAGCACATTAATAAAGGCTGAAAACACAGCATTCAGATCAATATGCTCCCATATGAAAGCTTATTTTATAAAAAAAAATGAAATAATTGAAGCATATGGAAAGTAACAGAATAATATTAAAAAAATTTCCCTACCACTCAGATTTTAACAAAGGCGGACAGTCTGTATTTGCTTCAGATCATTTAGAAATAAATTTTATACTTCACGTGTGTTTGGTGCCCTTTAGATCTGCTTCCAGACTCTCCTAGCCCTCACAACTCTTCTGAAGTTGGAGAAGGCCATTCTGTTTTAACAATAGACTGATTTTCATTTTTGAAGTTTTATATAAATGGAATCTTATGGTATGCTCTGTTTCTAGCTTCTTTCAGTTAGCATAATGATTTTGAAATTCATCCACGGTGCTGTGTGTACCAATAGCCCGTTCCTTTTTGTTGTATGGACTTTTTTTTGTGTGTGTGTGTATCACCTTTTGGTAAATTTTTATTTCCAGTTTGGGGTATTACAAAAAAGGCTACTCTGAATATTTCTATGTGGCTGGCTGTTTTTGTTTGTGCAGTAAGGATAAAGCCTGGGTGGCACAATAGGTAGATGTTTAACTACACTCATGGTTTTTATTTGCATTTCCCTGATGATAATCCTGAGCCCCTTTTCAGGTGCTTGTTGGCCATTGACATATACCTTCTTTGGTGAAGGGTGTGCTTAAATCATTTGTTCATTTCTTAATTGGGTAATTTTACTTCTTGAGTTGTATAATCTCTTTATGTATTCTGGATTTCTGGATACAGTTCCTTTATTGGATATGTTTGCCAAATATTTTCCCCCAGTTTGTGGCCAGAAATTTCATTTTCTTAAGTATGTGTTAAAGTGTACAAGTTTCTGATGAAGACCAATTTCTCAAATTTTCTCTTTTATGGTTTGTGCCATTTCTCCTCTGAGAAGTCTTCTATTAATGCAAGGTCACTAATATTTTCTCCTACAAGTTTCAGCTCTTGTATTTAGGTCTATATATGGGGAGAAGGTGAAGGTTCACTATGTGAGTGTGTGTGTGTGTGTGGCACATCCAGGTCATGTAACCGATTTCTGAGGGAAAGTATAGAAGGCAGAATAACTCCCCCAAAATGCCTATGTCCTGCTCTCCTGAACTTGTGAACACGTTATATGGCCGAGGGGAGTTAAAGCTGCAGATGGAATTAAGGTTGTATATCAGCAGGCCTTAAAATAGGGACAAAACCTAGATCATCTGCATGGATCCAATGTAATCACAAGGGTCCTTAAAAATGCAAGGGGGATGCAGAATTCAGTGTCAGAGCTATGTGATGAGAAAAGAATTCAACCTCTTGTTGCTGCCTTTGTAGATGGGAGGAAGAGGGCTACAAGCCAAGGAATGTGTGAGGCCTCAAGAAACTGGCCATGGTAGGAAAACAGATTCTCCCCTGGAGCCTCCAGAAAGGAACGCAGTCCTGCTCACACCGTGATTTTAGCCCTAGCCCAGTGAAACATATCAGATTTCGAACCTGCAGAACTTCAAGATAACTGATCTGTATTGGTTTTGAGTCACTAAAGTTCGTGGTAATTTATTACTGCAGCAATAGGAAACGAATACAGATCCCTGAGACTTTTCAACAGTATGATGTTTGCTGTAGGGTTTTTGTGGATATGTTGTCTATTTGTTCTTGTAGTCCTTCCAGTTTATGTCTGAAGTGTGTTTTTAACTCTAATATTTGCTCTGAGCCCTGTCAGCTCTCATTTTATTTCCTCCTGTTGCTTATCTAAACTGAGCTTTTCCAATATTGATGTTATAGTCTTCTTTCTTGAGCTTCTATCATTCCTTAATTCCTTCATAATTTTTAAAAATATTAGATCAGTTTTCCTCCGCTTTACGAATGTTTGGGATCTTCGCTCTCCATGCGTATGCTATAGAGACCGTTATCCTTCTCTTTTAGAGCACGGTGTGCGATGTGGCTGTGTTTAAGAAGGATTTCCCTGTCTTTTTAGAAGATTCCTGTGTAGGAGGTGGGGGGGGGGGCAGGATAGTTTCCTAATTTTGTGGTCTGAGGGTTCTTCCTGCAGTTACTACGCAGAGGGAGGACATGGTTTTCTGTGTACCGCGTTAGTACTTTCCATATTCGGTCCACTGCGTCCCCTCTTCCAACAGTGTCAGAACCTTCTCTCCTCTACACAACCCCCCAACCGGACCCCCCCTTGCCAGTCTGTGCTCTACACCTGATCATTTCCCTCAGGGCAGTCCCATGCGCGCTTCTGGGCTACTGCTGGGAACTCTGCAGAGTGGGTTGCCCTAGCACCCTCAGACCTTTCTGCGGGCCCCTGTTCCTAGCTGCCAACTGAATGCTCAATAGCCCTGTCTGTTTTGACTGTGGTTTTGGAGCCAGACACTCAAAGTCCCCTTGCTTTGCTTCTGCTTACTCCTCGAAAGCCGTTCTTCCCAAGTGACCTTACTGCCACTGATGGTTTCAGCCCAAACTGCTCAGATTCTGGGATTCACAGGGTTACTACTCAACCAGCTAATTTTAGCAAAGATGGTGCTTTTGTTTTTATTTTTTTTTTTTTTTTGCTATAAGATAGCACACCTGGGGGTTCAGGGAGAGGAAAAAACCACTCACTGCTGCTACCATCGTATCTCCTAAAACTGATGTTTTATTTTAAAATGATTTGTATTTTTCTATTTATATTAAAATGCCCAGGATAGGGCAGACAATGCCACAACAATACCTAAATTCCAGACTTTGGAGACGCAACACAAGCACTTATTCCTTGCTCACATCACAGTTCACACAGTGTGCTCCCCTGGAAGTCTCCCAAGCTGTGACCAACAGGCCTCGGCTGCCTGCATTCTGCCAATTCTTTGTATATATGCAAACAGGAAGAGAAGAGAGTGGTCAATCATGACCACTGCCCAGGGGAGGGCAATGAGTTTTATTGCCAAGTCCGGAAGTCACATCCATCACTTGTCCCCACATCTCACTGGCCAGCACTCAGTCACATGGCCACAGACAAACCACGACAGAGGCTGGAAGAGGTAGAGCGACCACAACTCTGTACCATTGCCCAAGCAACTCTGGGAGAAAAAACAGACTGTAAAATGTAAGACCCTATCTCTTCATGCATCTATAAAAGGATTTCAGATGTAATGTGATAAAAGAACACTTGCTGTTTTTAATAAGGTTTTAATTCCATCAGTACAGAACTTTAAATAAAAAAAAAAATGTGACTCAAACTGTTTTAAAGTCTGCAAAAAACCTACCACAGGTTTTCCACAGCTGCCAATTGCTGACAAATTTGGGGGAGAATAAGAAAGCATATAATTAAACAAAAGTAAAATGTCTCCAATTATAAAGGTTCCACTTAAATAAGGCTTTTGGAATTTTAAAGAATTAAACAATACCACTAATATACAAGGGAAATGATGGTTTGATGTCATTTATAAACATAAATGTGTTCACAAACATTCTAAATATTCAATATATATACTTTAGGAGAACCGTGACCTTAAGACAATGATTTTTATTACTTTTAGTCTACCAAGTTTGACACTATAAATATACTCATTGAAAAAATTAACACAGTATTTAAATAAGAATCAATTTCATGAAAATTTACAAAATATAACCAATATATTCTGACTTATGATCATACCTTAAATATTTCAACTTTACTCTTCTAGCCTGGGTCAAGCCATTTAAAAAATAGTTCCACACTATTTTTAACTTCAGGATATAAAACAGTAGGAATTTACTAAGTTTTCCATTATAAAAATTAATAGAGCAATTCTCAAAATACCAAAAAAAACTGTTTTACAAAAGCACTACCCACATCATAACAACTTATTTCTTTTAGAACACATCTTCAAAAGGCACATTTTAATTACAAGTATTTATCTAAAGATGGTAGCTGCATTTTGAATTTCCAGTCAATTTCCCATGCTCTCAGCATGAAGATGGCGGAAGGTCGGGGGAGGCAGAAGAACACAGGTGTCCAGTGGCGCTGTACTGAGGGCGGCAGTGTTCTCACTTGCCGCATCCACGGAGACCAGGAGAAAGGTGAAGGAAGGGGGATCTGCAGACCTGTCTTCTGTCCTAATTTAACCTTCATGAAATACTTTTTACCAAAAATACTTAATTAAAAAAGAAAACAATCACAAGACAGAAAGCTAAAATACCAAAAGGCCCAGACCACAAATGCCAGTTTAGTCTGGGGTGATGTTACTTGTTTGGGGCCTGAAGGAAAGAATGAAGCTTCTAGTTCATACTCGTAGGCAGATACGAGTATCTTCATACTCGGCTTGTCTCAATTTAAATCACTTGGTGAGTTAAAGGTGCTACAAAGTCCTACAAAGTCCTAGGATGTCTGGCATACTAATTTTCAAAATCAAATTATAAATGACTTCATGGTTATCTCTGTCATGTCCCCTTTAGTTAGGGCTGATATTCTAAAGTTGACTGTTAATTATATTAACATGGTGATTTCAAGTACTCTATAATATGACTGTTATTTTTAAGGACTTATGCCCTAGGACCCCAAAATGCAATCCAATATATACTTTGGGGTATGGTTTACTTTTCGGTAAAGTTAATACTAACTGAACTACTAAACTGAGTAAGATCAGTACTCTAAAGTACTAATAGATTAAGTAATTGATCCCATGCAAGAAACAAAAGGGACTTCTAATGCTATTTTGGAATTTCAAAATATTAGAGATCTGCCTTAATTTCCTGTTAGTCCCCTCCAGTCTCAGCTGAGTGTTTCCATTTTTTTTCTAAAGGGAGAACATCTTTAGATTTGTTTCCTTACTATTACAAAATAATTGACCAAAAATATTCTGAAGTACAGAAAATAAAATGGTCATCTTCTACTCAACCAAAATATAACTTTCTGGTCCCTAATAGCAATGATCACTTTGGGGACACTTATTCAAGTTCTAAAATAGCAGCTTTTTCAATTAAGGCAACATTGCTCTATTCTTACCTGTTTTTCTATTAACCACTTATTAAAACTCACAAGAGCAGTTTCACCCTCACAGGCCTTTTATAATGTAAGAAGAGTGAACATGAACATCCTTCTCAATGTTTAAAAAGAATATAAAAAGTTATTCAAAGTCAACAAATATCTTATTTTTCTACTTGGATTCTAAAGTAATTACAGTCATTTCAGAGTATGTAAACCAAGAAATTACCTTTTAAACTAACATCAACAACATAAAATACAATTTTTCTACAAAAATACAATATAGGCGATCTATCACTTCTTCCCTGAAATAGAAATTTAATATTTGGACAAAAAAGCTGTAAACTTTTGATTACATTCAAAAGATAACCTTTTAAAGACTTACATTATTTGAGGTTTTGGCAATGGGAGCTCTTAACAGATTTGCATTACTGTATTGTTTTAACAATATAATAATGCCGAACGGTTTGCTTCTTTTACTCTTACATCTGCTACCAGGAGGAAAAGAATGGCTTCCTGCAGTGGACAGTCTGGGTGAAAGAACTGCTCGTATGGACAATCCGACCCTGATTTCTACCTTGACTGCGCTCCACAATCACACAGGGCATTTGTACCAGCTGAACAGGACTCTTCCCATCTTTCAGTGCCTGAGTAAGATTTAAGATCTGTGGAAAGAGATATTTTCACTAGTTCATAAGACAAAAACCTTCATTCAGTTCACTGACATTATCTTAACCATTTATTCATAACTACAGTTTTTATTCCATCCCATATTTCAGCCCAACAGACTGAATAAAGTACATGGTTTCACTTTCTCCATTTGACATAGAAGCTAAACGAAGACTGGTCCAAGTTTTTGTCTACTTTTTCCATAATTAGGCTCTTGCTGATAGTGCTGCTATAAACATCAGGGTGCATGTAACCCTTCAAACCCTTCAAATCATGCATTTTTGTATTCTATGTGTAAATACCTAGGAGTGCAATTGCTGTATCATAGCGTAATTCTCGTTTTAACTTTTTAAGGATCCTCCATACTGTTTTCCAGAGTGGCTGCACTGGTTTGCATTCCCACCAGCAGTGTATGGCCACCACTGATGAATGGGTAAAGAAGATGTGGAATATATACATACAGTAGAGTATTACTCAGCCATAAGAAAAAATGGAATCTTGCCACTTGCAAAGATGTGGATGAAGCTAGAGAGTATCATGCTAAGTGAAGTAAGTCAGAGAAAGACAAATAACATGTAATTTCACTCATAAGTAGAATTTAAGAAATAAGTGATCATAGGCGAAAAAGAGAGAGGCAAACCAAGAAAGAGACTCTTAACCATACAGAACAAACTGATAGTTACCAGAGGGTGGAGAGTGATGAGGGAAACAGGTGATGGGATTAAGAAGTGAACTTGTGATGTGTTATATGGAAGTGCCAAATCCCTCAGCTGTACACCTAAAACTAATATTACACTGTATGTTAAGTGGAATTTAATAGAAACTTTAAAAAAAGTCTGGTTTTAACTACATACTTGCCTTCATAAACTCATTCAGAAACAAAAAAATTATTGCATGCCTACTACGTGCTAGGCTCTAAGTGCTGGGGCCATAACAGTAAAAAACAAACAAAACCCCTGCTTCCATAGAGCTTACATTTTATCAGGGAGAGGAGTCAATAAGCACAAATCACTAAATTATTCCAAGCATTACAGGGTAAAAGTGCGATGGGAAAGCATGATGAAAGCCAAGGGAGTTAAAAATTTAGGGAAGGTAGCCATTTAAAATAAAATTTCATTTAAGAGTTTATACTCTTATATAGAAAAAATTAAACTAGGAAGATTAAAATATATACATTCCATGTTTAAACATACTCTCAGAATTGCTACTTGGGCACATAAATAAGGTTATGAAACTCGATGCATAGCTTACAGCCTATTCTACTCTGTTCAGATAAAATAAAATTTTAATAATTCATTTTCTTTTTTTCCGCATATCAGGTAAAAAACTCCCTTTTGTTATGTATTTTAGAAACAAAGATGCTCCTTCGGGTATTTGAAAACATCTAATATATGGATAGTATACATTTTAGTGGTTCTTGTAAAGATTATTTAATAGTGATAGCATAAGGGTTTCAACATAAAGCCATACTAATAAATAAAATTCAAATACTTGGAATAGAATAAAACTGGATGGTTTAGATCCTAGAAAATCTGAAGTATTTAACAACTCAGGAAAATAAATCTTTACTATCTACAGTAGTTACTCATTGTATTTATGTTTTAGGATCCCTTTTAAGTTCTTCCCTTAAAATCTTCTAGGCTGGCTATACTTGGATAACAAGACACATAGAATTCACAAAATTCACACTTATAAGCATTGTTCTTATCACTAAAATAAAAACCAGCATGGCTGAGGAATGAAATGTTCTGGTTAATTTCTTCTTCTGGTTTTTTAAAAATTCAATTCTAAAAATGTTAGTCTAAATACACTAGTTTAAGTAGTATCTAGTATTTTCCTGACTCTAAAGACCTGATTGTTACAGAGAATCTGGAAAACAGAATGGTATAAAGAAAATGAAAGCCATTCAACAAGCTTAACAATTTTTAAACACATAATAGCAAAAATCACTCAATCCTAAAGCTATCCTAAATATTAACGATTCTTTGAAAGTTGAGAAGACACTTGATGATCTTGCATTTATTTATTAAAGAAACATCTACACAGCATGTACTGTGTTGGGGCAGAGAGAAGACTAAACAGGAGAAAAAAAAACACACTAAAGTATACATATTCTAGAAACACACATTACACATATTCTAGAAACAGCCCTATGAACAAATAACTGGAATGAAAAGCGATGAACAACAAAGGACCCTATGCTCTGACTTAAAATCTGATTCCCTCCCTTACATATCACCCATTTTTTCATTTGAGAGAACAAACAAATCTATTATTGTGTATTTAAATCAGAAAAGACTATTTTTAGAAATAGACTAAACACTGCAGGCAAGGAGAAACACTCTAGTCTCCATGGATGCCACATTTGAGAACTGGGTAGGGATGCGGTGGTTAGGCCAAAGGCAGGTCATATACACTCACAAACTTCCATATACAGACTTTGTTCTCCCTTAGACTAGAGTTCACTGGTCCTCAAACTTTAGTAATTTACTTTAGGACATAAAATAGTATCTAACTTTTCAGACATCCTTTTTTTAAAAAACAGCTAAAACCAAAAAGAAAGATACACACACACACATATACATATACATATATACATATATACATAAATATGTAATCATGTACATGGTCAGGATACTTTATTCTTTTTGGCTATCAGAAAGACAAAACCAAATTAAAATTTTTTTAAAAAGCAAAATCAAATTAAAACATATAATCAAGGCATCATTTATCTTTTTCTTCCCCCAGATCTTGAGTTTGTCATTTTTTATCTTATTACACATATTTGTGTAATACCTTAACTCATTTGTGAATGAGACAGGATCTGAGTAAGTAAACCTAAAATAGCAGATAGCCTCTGGTCTAGCTTTGTGACAGACCTCAGAACTGGAATGTCTCCATATCTTTCCAGACAAGTATTTTAAAATTTATATTTAAATCCCTCAGGTACTAACTTTAATCTATAATTAAAACTGACATAATTATTTACAGCTTTTCCTTAAAAAGAATTCCTATGATAAGATATATCTTTAGGGATAAGAGAATTCTTGAAGATGGAGCATACTAATAAATCAATTTTGTTTCAAGCAAAAGGGTTAACTTAGGGCATAATTATCTATGCCAGAAAATTTAGTTCAACTATAGTTTGGGATGGTAACACTCTTCAACATAATTATAGTTACTGATCACCAGAGCCCTTCATACATGCCTGCATTACCTACTTCACCTCCCTGCAAAGCTCCCCAGCTTTAGCCGCCTCATCTGCTGAGCAAATCTGCACCTCACTGTCCAGCCTCACCTTTTGCAGTGATCCTCAATCTTTGTTTGGGTTAGAGACTCCTTTTGCTGATATATAAATCCTACTGTCTGCCCCCACCCCAAAATGCACATATAAACAGAATTTAGTACAAGTTCAGGGAGTTCACAAAAGCAACCCAGGAGGTACCCTCTCCAGAAATATTAGTCTCATCACAACGTTTCTGAATGGTAATCTCTCAGGGCTCCAAACCCTTCCACATGGAATCTGTATTCTGGCACTTACAGCCTCCAAGATCTAGCTGTGGCCTATTTTTCCAGCCATTTCGCTTACTATTTAAAACTTATGATTCCAGCAAAGGACCACATAAATACAATGGAGCACAGAGAGGTATAAGTAATAATCCATCCAGAGGTAAGAAGTAATAAACCATCTCTTTTCCATGACTCCTGGCCTCCTCATCATAGCTCATGCTCTAGGAAAGAAGGAACTGGGTTTTGCTCATAGTTTTATTTCAATCACTAGAACACTTTCTGGCATTAGTTCTGTCAATAAATATTTGGTGAATGAATGCTTATCTAATTTAATTATATGTATTTGTTAAAGTTATATAATATATAAATCAGTACAAAAACTAGACTTCTTTGCCCCAGGTATGCAGCATATAGCTACCTTAAATTAACTGCATACTTTAGGAAGAAAAAGTTAATTAGTAAGTCACTAAAAGACAATGTTTACAATAATTTGTTTATAATATTTACAAAATTATTTACAATAATTTATTTTCATGTCAAGTCTTCCTTTTGGAATCTAAATAGTACTAAGAGAGTGGAAGGACCAGACATTGTCGGTAGGTCAGCCAGCCTGCAGGTCCACACCAGCAGACCTAACACCTTGTATCTCTAAGTAAAGAAGGTATGAAGGATGACAGGACTGAGTTACAATTAGTACTTTTATGCCTTAGTCACTGCTCAGCTTTGGTGACATGCTGATTCACTGACTGCTCCAGGAAAGGCCAAACACATTCTGTGAGAAAAATCAACATGCGACAGAACCTGGTACTGAAACATCCAAGCAAGTAGATTTGAGGAGGAAAAACAGAGTAACACTCAGGAAAAGTGTTATCAAAATGAGGACAAAGAATTCACAGGAGAGGGAAACTGGCTAACAAACGATATACAAAAAGGTCAAAAATAATTAATTTAGAACAAGAGGAAAGCCACTATTGAAATCCATTTCATTTTTAATCATATGCGCTATTTTGGTTCAGCATAAAAGAACTGCATCTTTGGGTCACCATGGAGAAAAAAGTTAACAACTGTTTCAAAGAAAGATTTTTTTCTTAATGAAAAAGATCACAATAACATTAACTTACCTGACCTCTCATCACAGACATCTGACTTTCAAAAGTGGCTTTGTTAAATTTTCTGTCAATCTTTCATGGAATAGGAAAAAAAAAAAAAAACCCACGTTACTATAATTTCAAAAATCAAGATCTTTGAAACATATATTGGAAAACAAATGAACTCTTCAACTTAGCATGTAAGGCCATTTCGAAGCCTTCTTAATAGTTAAAACAACGTTTAAAGAGTATTTTTACTTGATTTATTTTTGGATGCCTCTAGAATGACAATAATAGTTTATTTATACTCCAACTGGATCCAAAAGGATTTAAAATGACCTTCCAGCCAATGGGTTTAGGCTTTTTTGAGCGATTAAATCATAGCAGCTCACTAAGCATTTATTATAAATTATACTTTTGTAAAACCTCAACTTTTGAAGAGAACAACTTGTCAAGTTTTAATATAGTCTCAGAGAACCCTCAAAATCAGTGTTAGCTTCACAAATTTATGCTCCTGTAAAGTAAAACTGTTAATTCCTTCTTAAGTTAGGTTCTACTGCAAGTAGTGATACCAGAAGCACTAAGCTGCAAATCAGTTCTATTAAGAAAATCTCCTCTATTATAAGATTTCATTTTCTGCAATAAATGACTAAAAATTCATTTACCTTAAAAAGTTCATGAAGATCTTCACATAAATCTTGCACAAAGTTCATGTCAGAAATATATGGTAGAATTAAGTTTCTTGTTTCTTCAGAAAAAGGAACTTTTGCCTGAGGGAGCCAAGCCCAGTGAAATGGATCTAACAAAAGAGAGAAAGAAAGAGAGGAAGAAGTTATCAGAAAATGATCATCCCGATTCCAACTCTGGACAGTCAATTTAGATGGTAAAGCACAATCTTTTCTTGGCCTTTCAGCTAAGATCAAGTGCAGATGTAAAGCACAGGAAGGTATTACTGGAACTAATCAGGTTCCTGAGTTTTAAATAGTAAAGAGTAAGAATTTCAATAATGAGCCTATCTCAAACAGCCCTACATCAAGAACTATATCTGAATCTCTGGTTCCTGAGTTTGGAAATTACGGGACACATATAATTTGTTCACAGCCCCAGATCAAATGCCATGGCTGACGTTTCCCTGCCCTCTTAGTCACAAATCATCAGGAATTGGCCATGTGCACAAACATACGATGTTCCAAATTTTAAATCATTAGTAGGTAAATAGGTAACTGGCTTTAAGGGATCAAAGATCCAATATTCCAGGGTAATTCTAGTTCTCTCTAAGAAGACCATTAAATCTACACAGTACTAGGATCAGAAAGATTTGTAAAGTAGTAGAATCTTCTAGAGTAGGTGCATATTCAGATTCCTGAAAGAAAGTGTAAGGCTTATGACAATATGATCGCCCACAGAACCACTGTGGTTTCATCCAATGACAACCACCAGCTTTGATGGCTCCTACCATTTAGAAAGCCCTAAGGAAAAAATCTATCGAGAGTCATTCCTTCTTAACTTCTTTTTTACTATCTCCTTGTGCACTGTGGGAAGTACACTGTCCATTCCAAAGAAAGGCTTTCCTCTAGCCCACATCTCCCTGAAGCTGTATCTAATTTCCTTTTCACTTTTTCCTGACCAATCCACACAAAAGTCCTTATTCCATGCCTGACTTTACTTCCAATCCCTATCCCTCAGTTCAAACTCTCTCACCTAGGGGTAACTGGGTGGCTTAGTCCATTGAGCGTCTGACTCTCAAATGCAGCGCAGTTCATGATCTCAGGGCTGGGGGATTGAATCCTACATCTCTGCACTCAGTGCAGAGTCTGCTGGAGATTCTTTCTCCCTCTCCCTCTGCCCCTCTCCAGCTCAAGTACACTCTTTACCTAAATAAAAAAAACAAAACAAACAAAAAACCTCTCCCCTAAGACCACCAGTCATTTCATAAGAGTCTCTCCAAAGGCCCATTTGTGCTCATGCTACTTAATGTCTCCGTAGCTAGTAGTGCTATTCTTGATCATCTCCTTCAGTAAAATTCTCTCCTGTGTGGCTTTGGAAACACTGCTCTCTCAAAGCGTACCTTCTATCCTTTAAGCCACTTCTCTTGTTTGCTGGCTTTTCCTCTTGTATTCAATGTCACCAACCCCCCTTTCTTTCCTTCATTTGCTAAACATCCATGAAACATTTACTGAGTATTTGTGTACCTCGCATTGTCCTAGTGATGGTATTTGTTCACCATGATTTCCCTGGACAGTAACCACACCATGGCTTCTGCTACCAAGGTGACAGTTTAAAACCTATATCCTCAATACAAATTCCTCTTTCAATTTCCAGATTCTTAATTCTCATCTGTATATTTAGCAGAATTTCCCAGATGTATCATAGGAACCTTAAACTTAACACTTTAAGATAAATTTGCATATAAATTCCAAACTATTAGAGGGAAAAAAAAAACAATGAAACAAAGACATCTTAAGTCAGTTCAACAAAAGATAGGAAAGGAAAAAAAAAAAAACCAAGTGGAATTTATGGTCGATAGAAAAAAAATAAGATGGCAGGAAAAGTTCAAACACATCAGTAATTTATTGAGACTTTAACTAGAGCTGAATGTACCTATTAAAAGAATCTCAGATTGGTTAAAAAAAAAAAATCCAGTTAAGTGTTGTTTATAAATCATATACTTAAAACAAAATGATGGAAGCAAAAAATAGAAGTATAAAATAATACCAGGTAAATGCTAATAAAAAGAAATGAGGTATAGCAATGTTACAACAGATAAAATAAGAAAAGTAAAAAACACTGAGAGGGATAAAGTGGGATATATTTCACACCCATAAAACAAGCCATCACCAAGATAAAATGCTAAGCCTTTATGTACATGAAATACACAGCAAAAAGGGTATAGAATGCAGTAAGAAATTGCCAGAATCAATCACAGTGAACTTCAACTTTAACTCTCAAAAATTAACAGATCAAAAAAAATTATGACTTGGCTAACAACTAATAAACTTTAATTAATAGACAGATGCAGAACTTCTTGTCCAAATGCATTCTTTTCAAGTACCTTCAAACTGGCCATCTACAAGATTATAAAGGAATTATGAACAAATTTCAAACAGAATTCACTCAGCCACATTCACAGATCACAAAGCAATAAAACTCGATGACAACAGGTAGTTCTTTTTTTTAAAATCAACTGACATAGAAAATTTAAAACCAAACAAAATCATCCTAAGTTACTCACGTCAAAGGGTAAATCTGATAGCATGAACATACAGAGCAAAACAACAGAACAGCCCCTATCTAATCTATGGCTTAGCCAAAAGGATGCCTAGAGAAAAACATATAGGCAAGCAAAATAGGATGAACACAATAGAAGAAAAGAATAATGATGGAAAACACAAATCAATGAGAGAAAAAGCAAAGAAACATAATGAAAAACTGATCAACACAAGACCAATTATCTTAAAAAAAAAGCAAATAATAAATAAAGGTAATAATAAATAATAAATATATTATTATATAATAATATATAATATATGATAATATATAATAATATAATAATAAATAATATATAATAAATATATTATATACAAAATATATAAATATATTTATATATTAAATAAATATACTATTATATATATAAAAATAAATAATAATAAATAAATAATAAATAAAGGTAAAAAGGCCAATGCTTTATAATAGACAAGTCTGTGGCAAGCTTAATGATTAAAAAAAAAAAAAGCCCACTAATAAAAAGTAGGTATTTAAAAAAGCATAGTCGTAGATATAGATTACTTATTATTTATTTTTAAGTAAGCTCCACACCCAAAGTGGAGCCCAGTACAGGGCTCAAACTCACAATGCTAATACCAAAACCTGAGCTGAGATCAAGAGTTGGATGTTTAATCAACTGAGCCACCCAAGTGCTCTGATATGAGATTATTTTAAAAATACATTACATATATTTCAAATAACAAAAAAATTTAAAAACTAGTACAATTCCTATATTTTGAATAATCTAATTATTCTTAAATTTTTACAAAACATGTTTTACTTATCCCTGTTCTCCCTCCCCCTAAATATTTTAAGGCAAATTAGATATCATTTCCTTTCACCCCTTAATACTTCCCATGCATAGAGGGGATTTTATTTTTAATTGTAAGAGAATTCTATAAAAAATTTTGTACTCATAAATCTAGATCTCAAGATGTCATGAACAATTTTAAGGAAAATAAAAATGTCTAAAACTAGCTCAAGAAGATGCAGCAAACCAGCCCATTAACCACAAAAGAGACTGGTCAGGTAGATAAAACAATAGTCACTCACTCAGAAGGCAGAAGGCGGAAGGCAGAAGGCGGGGAGGTAGGCCTAAACTGTTTTGTAAGTGAATGCTACCCAAAACACTAAAGTTAAATTCTGCCCAAATATTAAAAAAGATGATGCCCAGGTTGTAAACATGTAAAAAGTTATTCTATAAGACTAACATAAGCCAAAAAACTAAAACCAGACCCAGTCATTCAAAGCTAAGCAAACAATATGAGGCGAGGCCCATGCAGTACACATCTCTGCATCCCCAGCCTCTAGAACAGAGAGCCCCAATCAATGGTTATCCTTCACCCAGGTTTTCTTCTCCTTTTCTGATATCAATAAGTTTTGTTGCCTTCCTATTCTGGAATAGGGTAATTATAGAATCCATAGGTGGTTCTAAATACTCACATGCTCTCCATTCATCAGGATGCTTAAAGGGAAATGCCAGACCATTATCAATTGCAGCTATTTTAATAAGTGATTCTTTATCATCAATCCATTCCGTTTCCTAAAGATGAAAAAGATGGTCTGCTGATAAGTTTTTTTGAATATTTCCAAAAGGTCAAGCATTAAATTAATTAAAAAAAATTACTGAGGTTTATGACATTTTATTTGAAGAGCCTATAAAAATAAAAAATAAGTTGCCAGAAAATAAAAATTTTTACCCTCAAAGGGGAGAAACTGTCTTATAAATCAGTAAGGATTTTATAATCATTGTTTTTTAAATGTTACTATAAATTTAGGTAGTAATGGTTTCATTTTTTTCCTCTTTGGGGAAGAGGACCTAGAACTATTAAGGTTTACAAGTATGTTGTTCCAGATAATTTATTGCTAGATGCACTGCTTAAATGTACGACATTTGCAAAATATTGATTATTTTTAAGAGAACTTAACAAAGTTACCTTACTAAAAACTTAATCTTTTCTAGGGTCCCCTAGAAATAATTAGTCCAAATACAAAATGTTTCTAAATACAATTCCCCAAAGATCAAATAAATTAAGGTCTAGCAAAAGGAATCTTCAAGATACTATTAATTACAGAATGCAGGCCATTCCTAACTTCTACAGTCTTCCATAGCTGAAACAAAGACCTTGAGAGCAAGAGGGTTTTCATGTTAAGGAATCCTCATTACGTAAACATATTAAGTGGCCTACATAAAAACAAAAAGTGAGAAAGATAACTTTAAAATTAAAAGTATTAGCATGAAGTTCTGTTTAATATATGTCTGGTTTGTTTCTTTTAGTTTATATCAAGTATCTTAACTCAATGAAAACGCACAAAATACTTAAGAGTAAAAGAATGAAGTTTTCAAGAAAATCTACTTGCTTAAGATATACCAATAAAATATATTTAGAAACTATTATGAATATGTATATTTATGTGTGTATTTTAAACCCATTTCTGCTATAATTGCCATTTCTCTTTTTTTCTATTTATAGCTTTACTGAGGTATAATTTACACACAATAAACTTCACATACTAAAGTGTTCAATTTGATAAGCATTTGCAGATGTGAAACCTTCACCAAGTTTCCTGGTGTCCTTTGCAGCCTCTCCCTCTCTCACTTCCTTGGCCCCACCCACAGGCAACCAGGTCTGCTTTCTGTCACCAGGGATTAGTTTGCACTTTCTAGATTTTCATGTAAGTGCAATCAGACAGTGTGTTCCCTTTGGGTGTAGCTTCTTTCACTCTGCAGGATTTTGAGATTCATCCACATTATTGAGTCATTAAGACTCAAAAAGAAGTGAATTACTAAAATATAAACATGTTGACTAAAAAATATCAGAAGCCTTTATTTTTATTACATAAAGGCAAAATAAATGTAGTGGTTCTATAACAAATTTCCCAAGTTCTAAAAAATAAGTACCCAGCTGGTATCATTCTTCCATTCCAATACAACATTAAAAAAAAAAAAAAAAAGCTACAGAGATTTAGAAAAACAGAATTTTAAAAATGCAATGTAAACAGAGGAAAGAAAGAAAAAAGATGAGAAAGACAGAAAAAGGAGATAAAACCAAGGATCTAAGTGAAGGAAATGAAGAAATGAAGGATAATATAAATTTAAGAAATCTTTTATAGAAATTATGTGTGTATGTATATAATTTTAAAATTTCCTTACCTTAATTTCCTTTCCCTGTTTCTGCTTTTCATATTTGATTAACCAATTATCATTTCCCCTGTCTTTCAAAAGAAAACAAATTTGTTACTTTTTTTTTTAAAGATTTTACTTATTTATTTGACAGAGAGAGATCACAAGCAGGCAGAGGGGCAGGCAGAAAGAGAGGGGGAAGCAGGCTCCCTGCCGAGCAGAGAGCCCAATGTGGGGCTCAATCCCAGGATCCTGAGATCATGACCTGAGCCAAAGGCAGAGGATTAGCCCACTGAGCCACCCTGTCATCCCTGTTACTTCATTTTTTATGGGTATCATAGCTTAATATCAAAGGGAATAATCTAGTTGCCTTTTGGTTTTCAAGACCTCGACTGGTTATCTGTGGCATATGTTTACATATTAAGAGCTCCAATTTAACACACACAAACTAAAAAATACTTACAAATGTTAGCTAACATTTTTTGAGAGTTTACTCTGTGTCAGGCATTGTTTTAAGTATGTGACATGTACTAATTCATTAAATCCTTATAACCACTCTGTAAGATATTATATAATTATTATTAAGAGCTATTAAATTGGGGCGCCTGTGTGGCTCAGTCAGTTAAGTGTCTGCTTTCTGCTCAGGTCATGATCTCATGGTCCTGGGATCAAGCCCCACTTCAGGCTCTCAGCTTAGTGTAGAGTCTGCTTCTCCCTCTGCCTCTGCTCCTCTCCCATGCTCAGTGCCCGCTCTCTCCCTCTCTCTCAAATAAATAAAAAAATCTTAAACTCCCCCTCGCAAAACTATTAAATCAAGGTTGTTAAAATCCAGAATAACTTCTCTACCTAAGTAAGAAAAAAAATCTACCTCTATTGCCAGGCAAATTTCTGGGTAGTTTCTCACCTAATGTCTACATAGAAGTACTCTAGTCTCTACATCAATTTTAACATTAATCCAGGACCACATTAATTAAGAAGGTAACTCTGGAAAAGTAAAATAATGCTTTCCCAGAAACTAATATAAGTAAGTAAACATTTTGAATCAGGGGTTCTCAAACTTCAGAGTGCATCAGGATTATCTGAAGGACATGTTAAAACAGACTGGTGGCCTCCATTTGCAGATTTTCTACTTTAGTAGGGCTGGGGTGCACTCCTCTGAGAAGATGCATGTGTAATCAGTCCCCATATAATGCTGACCCAGAAGGGCCAGGGAAACACATTTGGGAACCACTGTTTTAGATTATCGATACCATGGCTCCCTTCTAGAAGAGAAAAAATTAGAGTTTAATGTATTTACAGACTATACTAACGTTATCTAATGTCAAAATAAGCATCTCAAGTAATTTACACAAATAATTTTAATTATTCATATTATGCAGATAACATTTCTGGCTTTGTCCTACTGCCCAGAAATTCCCCAGTAGGGACAGAACTGACCTCTATCACCTCAGCAGGAACCTTCTAGGAGTTAGGATCTCAAGTACAGGATTAACTTTGCCCAGGGGAGTCAGTACTACATCTCCATTTTCCAAGGCAGGTAGATAAAAAGTGGCCTCAAGACTTCTGCATCAAGAGCTGAATATATAGGGGCACGTGGGTGGCTCGGTTGGGTGGCTGCCTTTGGCTCAGGTCATGATTTTAAGTGTCCTAGGATTGAGTCCCACATCAAGCTCCCTGCTCAGTGGGAGTCTGCTTCTCCCTCTCCCTCTGCCTCTCCCCCTGCTTATACTCTTTCTCTCTCTCTCTCAAATAAATAAATAAAATCTTAAAAAAAATAAAGAGTTGAATACAATTTGCAAGCTAACAAGATCTGAGTGAACAAATAAGAGAGCTTCAATACCTGTATTTCTGATGATGTAATCCAAAATAACTAATCTTTCAAATTGTGACTGAAATTCTTTTCTAATATTCTCAGGCAAAGGGTCAGCTTCAAATTTCCTAAGCCAATATTCAGCCTCCTTGTAATCTTCAACAAATAACTGAAAGGAACCAATCTATAATTTTAAGAACTATAGTTAGAAAAGAAAGTACAAGAACAAAGGGATTACTTTTTTAACTTCTCATCAGTATTATCATAAAATATGTTTTATAAACATAGTAAGAAAAACAAAAAAGTTAACACTAATTTATATAACCACACTTATCAAAACTATTTTATACATTAATTTTAAATAATTATACAAAGAATACATAGCAAATTAAAAATGCTCAACCCTAGGTTTTTGAGGAGCACAGACACTATTTTAGGATAATTAAAAAAGAAAATGCCTCTCAAGGTGATAATCTCAACTCAGAATGCTGTTTTCTAAAAATATTCCTTAAAATGACTTTAATTATGGAAGCCAAATAGTATACCTATCCTGGTCATTTAATAACAGTGCAATTTTATCTTACTAAAGAAATACTTCAGGATTTTTTTTTTTACAACATACAGAATATAGATTTATTTTAAAAAAGAATGCATTCTTTGACTTTGCAGATTACAGATCCTGTCATAAATTTTAAAGAACTTATCAATCAATCATAAACTCTATGGTGGTTTTTAAGAAAACCCTTTCCTTGAAAATATGTCCATTTAAAAATGCATTTCTGTCACTAAAATTACTACATGTATTTCCAGCACAGGACCTACAGGTCACCTAGCTGGCCTCATAAATACAAACTACCATAAAGAAAATCTATTTCTTATCCTAACACTATATTCTTGTTGTTGGCATGAAATTTTAACTACTTCCAAAAGGTTTTCTTTAAAACACTTATAATTAAGTCCTAGTTGTCATAAACATGGAAATAATATCCTTCTTTAATTACACTTAATTTCAGCATATCCAAGGAATAACAGGCCTTATAAAAATTTTCAAACTTCCTGATTACTTGGAGTACAATTTTAAAAATAATTTAAGTTAACCATGAATTTTTATTCAGATTCTTTTATCTAGACAAAGGCATTGCAACCACAAAACAAAATCACAATTAAAAAACAAAACAAAACAAAACAAAAAACAGCCCAAAGTTCTTGTAGAATGCTTTCCCATTTACTGTCCCCACTCTTGCTTAGCTAGCGGCTAATCATTCCTGAGGTTTTATTTTACAGTGTTAAAAAAGAAGGTATCTAGTATGTAGCCAGTACACATAGTTACTACAACTTACTACACTGTATGCTGGGCACCATACCAAGTACTTGACATGAATTTCTTCATTTAATCTCACAGCCCCAGGAGATAGTTTTTCTCACCTCCATTTTATAGAGCCTAGGGCTTAGAGAGTAGGACTTGCCTAGCTAGGTCTCAGAGCTAACTGGTGGAGAAGCTGGGAGGAAAACCCAGGTCTGGTTCTTTATAAAGCTGTAGGTGCAAACTCCTGGAAACACTCCCTGTCCAAACTAAGTGAGACACCCCTCCTTTATCCTCTCTGACCTTCCTGTATTTAACCATCCTAACAGCTTTATCATATTGCACTGAGATGGTTTGTTCACTATAAGCTCTTTGAGGATGAAAAACCCATTTTCTTTCCTATTATATCTGTAGCCTACAGCACACAGTGCTCAGGTAATACATGCTGAATTGCCCCCCAAATAAAACTTAGCACAGTCATTTACCCATTTACCTTAGGAGGGAGTCCTATCCGATGGAATTTTCTACCTACTTTAGGCACTTTCTCTAAAGCATACTTTTTGCCTCTAGATTTTGCACGGTCAATTGCACTGTAGTTAAATGTCTCACTGACAAGCCAAACCACCTAGAAACACACAGTTTTAGAAAAATGGTTATTAGAATTGGCATTATAATATTTCTATTCATATACTACATGAAATGTACTTTAATACCATTAATTAGCAGAGTCTAACCCTACAGTAAATGCCTCAGAGAATCTAAAAGAGAAAGACTTAGGGATTTTGCAAACTCAGTTAAATGGCATGTATTTCTGGGAGAGACACCAAAAACCAGCCAGCAGAAGCAAAAAGTAATCATCCGCAGATTTAGGAACAAATATTGTGAGGAAGTCTTTAAGTAAAAGTTTATAAAGGCTAAAAAGAAAAAAAAATAGCAGTCTTTCGAGCGCATTAGTTATCTCTACCTTCAGGAGAATTTCTAGAACCTCGATATTTTTCTGCTTTCAAACTGTTAGTTCTTTTTCCCCTTGTCAGCACCATCTAAGCTTGTATGAGTGAGGGATATTCCCCTTGGACACTTTGTGGATTTCCACTAGAATCAATTTATTAGTTTCTCATGACTGGATACCAAACCAAAGGCTCAACTTTAGGCTGTCATTAGAAATATTACGAAAGTGTTCACAGAGAAGTAGGCTATAAATTAGAAGTACATAATTAAAAACAATTTCTCCTTTACCTTTGTTTTAGGTACAATGCCCAGATGAAGCTTTTCATCTATAAGGGAGGCACCAGCTTCAGAAAGGTATCCCTGATTAGGAAGCAGGCAGCCTCTACCAAAGCAGCAAGGGCAGCAGACTTTATGAACATATTTGGTCCATTTTGGATTCAGTTGACCATAAGGCTCTTCTGATTTGGGTTTAAACACACCTATAGTTTTCTATATAAAAAAGTAGAAATTTTGTTAGACTTCTGATATAGAGAGACAATAATCCACAAAATGCATTTTGAGAAATCTTTCTGTATTTCTTCCCACCAGATTTGGGCATTACCCTTACATATTAAGAGGTTCAGTTTTAATTATTTTTTTATATTCATTCTCATTCAACAATCTAAAATCAATAATCCTTTGGGCTAGTAGTTTTCAAACTGTGCTCTGAGAAACACTAGGGAAGGTGAGAGTAGAGATGAGGGTACGGCTCTAAGACCCCATGCCACTTAACTGGATCAACTCTGACTTTATCTGCTTTATTACTGGACTTCCAAGTTATGGAAGGGTTACAGTGATTTTACAATGTCTGAAAACCACTGCTCTAGGTCAAATGATTTTATTTTTCAGCATCTATTAATTATCAAAATTATATGCTTATTTATCATCTACTTTCTCATTAGATGTACCTTCTATAACGGCAGAGACTGCTTGTTAGGGCTGTATTCCAAGTACTCAGAACAGTGCCCGGGATGCAGGAGGCATTCAAGCATTTGTTAAATGAACTAATAAATCCAATGACAAAAAGTAGTCTCTAAATCCAAAGGTAATGATAGCTATATGTGAACATCTATGCTGTGAGATTCTCCTACCCTAATCATTTTCCAATTTTTTTTAATGAATCAGTTTTAAATAAATTCTCTCCTTTAAAAAAAATTGCTAATGGATGTCTAAAGTCTATAATCTTTATTACCAGTCTGATAAAATATATTCATATTAAATTTGGAGGGTGAATCATCCTTAGACAAGATTTAAAAGCCTTACTATAATTTTAAGTATATAATTGCTTTGTAATGCAATAAAGTCTAAATCACTAGTAAAAAAGTCAACAAGAACAAATTACAAAATCAAACTCAGAATAAAGGTTGATAGATTGACATGACTTACATCTTTGTAAAAAATATTAGGATGAAATCATAATCTTTTTTACTCCTGAAAAAAGAACTGCTGGCTATGTATCATTTAGAAAGCTTTTAGAGATAATAACATAGATTTCTGAAAAATTCTAGACTAAGTGGAACAAAGTCCCATATCAACTTCTCTCTTCTGCCCTCGAATTATACTTTGGTTCATTTCACTATGTCACATTCCAATGCCTTCAATCTTCAGATTGCCCAGGCTCCTCTGGCATAATGCTGGGAAAAAATTCCTAGCGCAAAATAAGCCTTTGAAAAAGATCTGGAAATTACATTGAATACGTTTTGAAAGTTTAAATTTCTACTTTGCTTGGCTAATATAGTTTCTGTAAAGTAAGGACTTATGAATATAAACTCAACAAATCTTTTGCTGTGAATATGAGTATTCCATAAATGCTTGAGACCACGAATTAAAATAGTAGGACAGCAAACTATGACTTAAAATGAAGAGCTCTATTTCTAAGTAATAGAGTGCTTTAGTTAAAAACAACAAAAAGCCTAACCTTTATTTTTGAAAAGGGTGCAATCAGATTTATTAGGAAAATATCTTCAGAACCTCACAATGATTTCACATTTAAATTAGTGTTTTCCAAAACTTCTGTTATGTATACTAGATCTGTGAAATTCTCACCCTCTTAGGATCCTTCACAAAGTAACTTCCACTTGAACCTTGAGAGATTCTTTCTGGAAAAACTCCAAATTCTACTGCTTGCTCTGCTTTCAACACAGTATCAGCAAATTCAGGATCATCCAAGAATGTATTCAATGCTGAAGAACCACATTAAAAACAAACAAACAAACAAACAAAAACAACTAATGTTAATATAGACCATGAAGAAAAAACAAGTTCAGCTATGAGAATGCTCATGACGGGGACCTGTAATACTGGGTTAGTTTATTAGCATTAGGACATTAAGATACAGAAAAAAAATGTAATCAAGCATCATATGGGTTTCCTGGATTCTTCCTTCCTTCCTCCCTAACCCCACTTCTCTCTAAACTTCAAGTAATGACACACAAAAAAGAAAATCCCTATTTGTTGAAATAATCACACTAATACCTCATTACTCTGAATTCCTCTCTTCCAGCGATTTTGTTCTCCAGCCTACCTCAACTTCCAACCGCAAAGTCATACCTCAGATCTGTCATTACTAATACCTGCAACCTCTCCATACCTTTCAATTTCAAGTAACTTCTCTCTTCCTAGTTCATTCTCTCTGGTACCCTGAATCCCCAAAACTCTTCTAACCCCCTAGGGTATACAAAGCACTGATCTACCATGTTGTCACTAATCTTTGTGTCCTTATGTCCCTTCTTGGCCAGCTTAAATTATGGTCAGTCATCACATAATCACTCTTCCTTTCCTCCCTCCCCTCATCATGGTCACCTGGAAAAATCCCAGTCCTGGTTAAACTCAACTGTCTGCTGAGTATGCCTAGGCCCAGACAGCTAAACTTGACTAGACAAACAAACACAAACACAATGCCTGATAGCTCACCTGAATTTAAATTCATCACCAGAAACTTCAGGAGGGCCCTTCATAATGCTTGGGAAGCATATTACATTCCTGTTATGGACTGACTGTCCTCTCAAAATATGTTGAAGCCCTAACTCCCAATGGAATTATATTGGAAGATAGAGTCTTTGGGAGGTAATTATACTTAGGTGAGGTCATGAGAGTAGGGCCGCCAGGGCAGGATTAGTGCTAAGGGCATGCTCTCTCTCTCCCTGTGTCACATGAGGACACAGTGAGAAGGTGGATCTCTGCAAGCCAGGAAGACAGCCCTCATCATGTCAGCACTCTCAGCTTGGACTTCCCATTCTCCAGAACTGTTAGAAATAAATGTCTGTTGTTTAAACCACTCGGTCTATAGTATTTTGTTCTAGCATCCTGAACTAACACATCTCCAGGTACACAGTCTCTCCCACTGTTCTGGACAAGTCTCAAACCCTCCTCTCTTCTCAAATTTTCAACACCTCCTATCTCTCAGATGAGCCTTAAGAGATGCAATCAGAAAAAACTATCATCAGCCCTCTGCACCACATCTGCTCTGATACCCTCTGCCTTACACATATTACTATAGATGAACTGTCTAAGCTCCAAGATCAGCTCATCCACTTTGTGTACCAGACCCTATCTCTTCCTGATGAGTCCAGAGCATTTCTTCAGCATTTCTTCCCTGCATCAATATTTCCCTCTTTATTGGATCATTTCCATCACCATACAAAGCATGCTGTAATTTTTTTCATCCTAAATCTAACTCCCACATTACTCCTAGATGTTCCGCATTTCTTGAAGGTCTCTATAGTTATTTATATTTACCATCTCCAATTTTTCTTCCCCGATTTTCTCTTGAACCCATTTTAATCAGGCTTCTGTCCCAACCACTCCATTCATAAAGCTTTTGTTGGGGTATGCAGTCATCCATATTGCTAAATCTAACCTCAAAACTCATCTTCCTTGCCCAACTTCAACATTTGACCCTGTTGGTCACTCCCTCCTCCTTCACTTGGCTTCCAGGATTCCCCTTCTCCAGGTTTTCCCACTTCATTGGCTCCTCTTTTTGTCTCTTTGCTGGCTTATTTTTATCTCCCTGACAGGTTGACTTTGCAACGCCTCAGATTCAGTTCATGGTCCTTTTCTCTTCTTCATCAGCACTGATTAACTCCCAAATTTATATTTCAAGCCTGGACTTCTGCCCTGAACTCCAAACTACTATACTCAGTATCTCTACTTGGATGTTTAATGGACACCTCAAACTTTACTCCCCCAAACTCAATTCTTATCTTTGTCACCCTTCCTGACTGCTTTCCTCGCGTTTCCCTATTTCAGTTGCTGGCAACTCCAAATCTTTCAGTTGCTCAGACCAAAAACCTTGGAATTATCCATGATCTTAAAACTCTTACCATCAACATCTAAACCATCAGCACTTTGCATGACTCTATCTTACATAAACACCCAGAATCCAACCATCTCCATCCCCTCAATGTGATCCAAGTGACTATCAACTCTTAACCTGGATTATTATGAGTCTCCTAACCACTCTCCGTCTTCACCCATGCCTTCTCTATACTTGACAGAGAAACTATAGCAGTAATTCTTTTAAATCATGTCAGATCTGGGGCACCTGGGGGCTCAGTTGGTTAAGCGCCTGCCTCCAGCTCAGGTCATGATCTCAAGGTCCTGAGATCAAGCCCCAGTTGGGCCCCCTGCTCAACGGAGAGTCTGCTTCTCCCTCTCCCTATGTCCTAATCCCCCCCCCACACCCAGGTCGTGATCATTCACTCTCAAATAAATAAATCATTTTTTAAAAAAAGATGTCAGATTATGTCACTCTTGTACAAAACAGCCCAATGGTTTCCCATCTCACTAAAAGTCCAATCCTTATAATGGCCCCAAGGCCCTATACAATCCTCCCTAACTTCCACTTTAATGACCTGTTTAGCACTTATGACTTGGGATAATATATAATATATAATTATATAATATATATAATAATATATAGTTATATATTAATATATATAATAAATTTATATATTAATTATATATCATAAATATATATACTAATATATATTTATATATATTATATATCGTATAAATATATATATTATATGATAATTACATATAATACATAACAAATTATTTATTTTGTGAGCTATAAAAAGACAAGGTTTTCTTTCACTATACTTGTATAGTTCCTGGAACATAATAGGCACTCAATACACACTTGCAGAATGAATTAACAATTTATCATTTAAAGTGACAGACAAGGCAAAAATTATTCATACTTTACTTTGGAAGGTATTTAAATGCATTCAACATTATGAAAATTCAAAACATAAATTTACCTTAACTTAAAATTTGCCTTAATTTAGGCAGAAATAAAACTGTTACTTATTTATTTTTAAAAGTATGTGCTAAAAATGCCAAAAAAAGGGCAATTGGGCATATTTGACTTACTTAAAAGAAGAATAAATAATCCAAGTATTTTAGTCATGTCAATACAATTGATATGCTAATTCATAATCATTCCCATTTACTTCATGAAAATAATTAAGAATGGAGGAACTTTTTCTTTAATCACTGTATATCCCTGGTACCTGGATAAGGGATCAGCATTTACTGAGGAGTTAATAAATATTTAATGGAATAAATGAAGTATTATTTATGTGCTAGAAAATGCCAGTAATAATTATCATTAGTCAAATGGTATTTCTTCTAGGCCAAGACTCTTAATAAGAAAGAATTTGAAAAGTTATTTATTTCAACGCTGCTCCTAGCACCAGTATAATCTTTTTTTGTCTTTTTTTAAAGATTTTTATTTATTTGACAGAGAGAGAGATCACAAGTAGGCAGAGAGGCAGGCAGAGAGAGAGGAGGAAGCAGGCTCCTTGCTGAGCAGAGAGCCCGATGCGGGGCTCCATCCCAGGACCCTGGGACCACGACCTGAGCCGAAGGCAGAGGCTTTAACCCACTGAGCCACCCAGGCGCCCCAACCAGTATACTCTTTTAATGTATCACTAGAAGGGGGTCTTTGGGCAACTGTTTCAACACTTTCAAGGAGACATCACTACTTTTTACTTGCTCCTTTTATATGAAAAAAAAATATAAACTCCTCCTTTTTCTCGAAGTAAGTCTCCTGTGGTTTCTCCCAATGTCCTAGACCTACTATCTGGAGCAAAACAAAAGTCCACTTACTCCTTTCTTCCCAGGGGTAGCCCTTCAAAAAGCTGAAGATCATTTCATGCTCTCCTAAGTCTCCTCTATTCTCCATCTCCTTCCAGACGGAAGTGTTTTCAGGCTTTTCAGCATGTGAGTTGCCCTCTTGTTTCACGCCTCAGTTGTTCAATGTGCCCCATTAAAATATTGTCTTCAGAATCCAGAAACCCATTGCAGAGAATAGAGATGCCTGTCAGTGTTTGGCAGTATACCAAAATGAGAAGCATTCTAGTATTACATTAGTTATTTAGGAATCTGGTCATACCACTAACACATATTGAGCTGGCTAAACTCTTTGACCACTCTTGGTCTCTCCCATGCCATACCTTAGCAATTCTTGTGGAAACTATGTGCAGACTTGGGCATATTGCTATTAAATGTTATCAAATTGTTTTATGGGCTAAGCTTTATGAGTTCATCATAGAACCTACTTTTGTTGCTTTCATGGAGCCCATGCGCACGCTCTGAACAGTTAAGAATTCAGTTTCAAACAAAATCAGATCAAGTAGAACCATTCCTATAAAATCAGCCAGCATATTCTTAATCCCTTTCTCTATAATTTGTCCCTTACTGAGCACCCGTCTTTTGGATAAATGAGATAATCTCCCTACATGAAAATGGGCATTCTTGGAAGATGGCCTGGATTTACCATCACTTGTTAGAATGACGCTTAAAAGACAACTGGTCTTACCATCTAAATGATCAGCCAGAAAAAATGACCACATATCAACTGTTCTAAAATCAAAGAAACTGTTTTTTAGGAGATAATTTTTCTTTAAGTCATAACTCACAATTACATTATAAAGCTTTCTTCATTTTACTTACTGAAGTGTACATCTGGCAATTAGTTTAACTTGGAGGATACCTCCAAAAGTTATGCTGCCTCAAGTTCTACGTGCTATGGGAGATTTGGTTTGAAGGTTTGTGGTCAGTTTTGATTTTTAATAGTAGAGGGACATGGTTGGCCACATTTTCTTTAATTAAAAGAAATTTTGGGGGCGCCTGGGTGGCTCAGTGGGTTAAGCCTCTGCTTTCGGTTCAGGTCATGATCTCAGGGTCCTGGGATAGAGCCCCGCATCAGGCTCTTTGCTCAGCAGGGAGTCTGCTTCCCCCCACCTCTCTCTGCCTGCCTCTCTGCCTACTTGTGATCTCTGTCAAATAAATAAAATCTGTAAAAAAAAAAAAAAAAAAAAAAGAATTTTTTTTTTCAGGTAAAATTACTCTTATCCTTCTGAAGGAATAAACTATAAGGTTTTGATTTGTTGGTGTATCAAAGAATTTTCTGAGGAAAATATCACTTCTACCTCTGTGTACTCCCTTCTGGTCTCCTCTAAGATGTGGTGATCTATTCAAGTTCCAGTCCTATTTGAGCTCCTCACTTTTCAAAAGATATCCAGCACATCCTCTCAACATTTGCCTATGCTATTCTCCATGTATATTCCAAGCTTCCTTCCCACGGTTAATTCTTACTGATCCTTGAACTCCATCTCTTCACTTGTAGCACTATGACAAAATGACCTAAGTTCCAGAAGGGCATTGTTTTTTTGTTGTTTTGCTCTCTGGTATACTCTAACCACTTAAAAACAGTGCCTGGTACCTAGCAGGCCCTTGATAAATCTCACAATTATTTATTAACAAACTATCCCCTTGAACACACTTAAGAGTTATCACTGGTTTCTTAGCAACCAAAACTGAAAACAGAATAAGAGAATCCATTTTATAAACCTTTTATATAAGTACATGTGGTAATTATCAAGGTCTCATTTTAATAAATAAACCAAAATGAGCCCCTCCTCACTTCAGGGGTTGGGATTCTATCTTACCCAATGACCGGAATAGTTTCTAAAAAGATAACTAGTTAGCTTACTGGTTTGGTGATCTGAACCCTGCTCTTGCGAGTTCCAGGGCCATTTTTCAGGTCTCAAATTGGATACTACTTCCTCTGCTAAGTGTTCCCTGGCCCCTAAATCCAGGACACAGTTCAAGGAACTCTCAGTTTTCCCCATTCAAATACACCGGCTGTTGGAACTGTTTTAATTGACTATTTCCACCATTAGGCTAAAAAGCTATGTGGGGACAAGGCTCCTAACTGAACACGCATCTGATATCTGGTCACCACTGTTTCCCCAAGGCCTCAGTTCCCATGGGTACCCAGCAGGCACTCAAGCATTTGAGAATGATATATCTCAGCAATAAATGGAAAACAAAGAATAAGTGTCTTCTTATTACTGGTTGAAGAATAATCTCTTGAGAGGGAGAAGTGGCTTCTCAATCAGTACCTTTCAAAAGGTCAGTTATGGAGGACTGTCAAGACACATAGGGCATCTACTCTTCCATTACCTTCCTCTAAATTCAGCCAGATTATCAGTGTCTAGAATACGGATCCAGCAATACTTACAGCACTACCCATTAGAAATTCTTCTATTACAATGGGCTTCAGGGACGTTCTAAGAAATACCCCTACGAAAGTCATCACTTTTATTACAAAGATACTATTTATCATGTAGTCTCTTCTCCAAAAGATACATGACACATTTTCCTTTGTCAGGTCTGTTTTGACTCAAATAACTGGTTTAACTTTATGGGCACATTGACTGTGCTCCTCTCAAGTTGGCTCCTCAGGAACTTTACAGATCAGATTTGTGGGCTGCCTGCACCAAGCATCCAATGTGCATTTTGTGTACTCTTGTGCCAGCCTCCATCAACTTACTTCCTACCCACGTCTTTCTTCCTTACTTTAAGACTTTTTTTTTTTTTTTTAGTTATGACAGAGAGCAAGAGAGATCACAAGCAGGCAGAGAGGCAGGCAGAGAGAGAGGGGGAAGCAGGCTCCCCACCAAGCAGAGAGCCCGACGTGGGTCTCGACCCCAGGACCCTGAGATCACGACCCGAGCCAAAGGCAGAGGCTTAAACCACTGAGCCACCCAGGCGCCCCTCTTCCTTGCTTTAAATGATGCTATTTTGTTCATACATTTATACGGCACCATGAATCGTTAAAAGGCTTATAAGTATACACTTCCTTTCCTTTGGTAGTTCTTTGTGTTCTAACACTATTCCCTAATTGTAGACTCTCTAACAAAACTGTTAAGTGCTCCTGGTTTGTATTAACTGGGACCTTGAGAAGTCACTTCATCTCTCTGTGCTTCCTTAAAATGAGACTAACATATAGTAGACACTTCATGGGGTTAGTTATGAATTAATGGAAGTGAAGCACATAGAACTATGCCCTACACATACTGCTACCTAGGTATTAACTATTATCATCTTTATTACTCTCTCCAACTCACTGATTAAAATGACAACTACAACAAGGAATGCCACTGATCTTTCTACTTTGACACTGACCCAACACTATGTTTATGCTGGTTCCAGACTTTGTCAGTGTCTTGCTCAAGTGAAGGTTACAGACATTCTTCCACTGGTTGAAGTACATAAAGTTCCTATTTACATTAAAAAAATAGTTAAGCATAAATGCATATGCATTAAGCATAAATCATGTTTATATCGACCTAAAGGTAAGAATTGCTTAGAACTAAAGAGGTGGCTTCATGGAAGTTGGGTGGTAAAGGGCAAAGGAAGTTACCATTAACTTATTAAAATAACTCATTAAAAAATAACTTAAAAATCTAGTTATATTTACTCAATCATAAACTTTTTAGGAGACTAGTATGAAATTTTAAAAATACTTCTTACAACTCAAAACTATTTTTTAGTTCATTAAAAATAAGACTTTCATTAATAACCACAAGTAACAATTATGTTATAATACTCGGGATCTACAGCAAAATGGAAAAAGTGCAGGGCATAAAAAGAAGAACTAGGCTCAGTTCTGGCTATACCACTTCCTGTATACTTGACTTCGGCTTATCGCTGAAGTTCTATGACCTACTACTAGTCGTCACAGTTTTATTCATTTTCAATCCTCACAACACGGATGAGGGTGAATAAAAACTTGTGCTGTTGTGAGAATTAATGAACTACACAAAAAGAAATCTTAGCCAACTGTAAACTGTGATATAAATTATTACCATTTAAAACGGGAGGAATTCTCTTTAGTTACCAATCTTTTTTTTTTTTTTAAAGATTTTATTATTTATTTGACCGACAGAGATCACAAGTAGGCAGAAAGGCAGGCAGAGAGAGAGGAGGAAGCAGGCCCCCCGCCGAGCAGAGAGCCCCAATGCAACCCGGGCGATCCCAGGACCCTGGGATCACGACCAGAGCCGAAGGCAGAGGCTTTAACCCACTGAGCCACCCAGGCGCCTCTAGTTACCAATCTTTATTCAGAATACTACAGTCTATCCCACTGTTACTTTTTCTAGACTTAATACTTTTTTTTTTTTTTTAAACAAAGCCTCACTTTCACAGAATAACCACACTCTTTTAGGCTCCATTAAAATCTAGCTACCCAGGTAACTTTAGGGTAGGAAAAAAAGCAAACTAGCCACACAGATTTTAGTTACTTTACAGAAACAAAATTACGTAGGTAGGTGAATGTGGGTCCATTTGTGATCATCATGTTTATTCTGTTCAGTGTTGTACCGTAGATGCACCTGTTAGTTAACGTAATGACAGCAGACCTGGCAGGTCAGAGCAATTAGCTAAAGCTTTATTCATGAAAGACCTGAAGGGGAAAGTTTGGTTTTCCTGGGCCTCTCCGATTCACCTGAGAGGATGTTTGAATGTAAGCTCAACTACAACTTGAATAACCTATTCTATCCCAAATTCCTTAAATTGTAGGAGCCCCATTATTGTAGTGGTAGCAGGACATGTAAAATCTAAAAACTCAGCGATAAGCAAGCAGTATTAATTAAAGCTGCATTTTCTGTGGCTTTTCTTTAAGCCATCACATATGGACTTCTACTACAGGCACAGTACACACATCATCTCACTTAAACCATCCCAACCACCAACAAATAGATGTAACCATAACTTTACAAATGAGCCCATCTCATCTTCAGCTATGATTCATACAAGTGTACCCTATTTTACTTTCAAAGTAGCCTAACTCGACTCAACTTGCCAAAAAACCTGCTTTATCAACAAATATCCATGCTTGCAAGAGCATGCCTACACTTTTTACTAGTCTTCAACATCGTACCAATTACCCTCTTTTCTATCTGAGGCTACCGGTCCACTTAATAGTGAAAAAGTGCCCCACCTCCCCCCTTGAAGTGTAAGAACAGAAATGGCTCCACAAAGAAAACTTTGCAAGAGAAATCACAGCTAGAGAAATTCAACTGCCTCTGCCCCCTCTGGCTAACGTCACAATAACATTAACCAGAAAGTTTTGAAATGTGTCCGGATGGCATCTAGATTTTCTTGCTGTTCATCTCTCTGCTGTCATCCATCTGCCTTGCAAATTCACAACTCGGGGAAACTTCCTGACAGTTCAGGGTTCTTAATCCAAACCTCAAGTCCAAACTTGAGCAAACAACTTACGTCATTTTACCGTGCTAAGTTTTTCTCCGTGTCTGATTGCAAAAGTTTAGGCTTACTCTTGCGGGAGGCCCCAAGGATCAGAGTGACAACCACAGGCCTTAGGTGAAGTGGCCTATGCCCCCTGGGAAAGATGCGAGGAAACGGGGAGCAGAGAGAAAGGCAAGGGGTCCAAGCTTCGACTGCCGTTGGGCCCCCTGGTCCGTGCTCCGGATGGGAGGGTTGCCTGCATGACTGCCTTTCCTCCCAGGCAAGTGCTGGTGTGGGACAGAGATGGGACCCTGCAGGGGCTGGGCGGCGACGCGCTCACGGCAGGGGACCGGGAGGGGGGCTGTGGGGTGGTGTAAGGGCCGGGTCGCACCTGCACCTCTGGGGAGTTTCCGGGGGGGGGGGGGGGCCGAGCTCCGGCGGACACTCACGCTCCGGGAGGGCCGGCTGGGCGCGTCCCAAGACCCGAGCAGCAGTTCCTTGTCTCCAGCCTCGCGAGGAGAGGCCGCGCCCTCCTGGCCGGCAGCCTCCACGAGCCTGACGGCGATCCCGGGGGCGCCCTTAGGTGGCTGGGCCCAGGCGATCCGCGGCAACAGCGGCTCCCGCTCCTCGTCATCCTCCGCTTCCAAGCTCCCGCCGCCGTCCTCCGACGCCAGCCGCCCGGACTCGGAGGACTCCGCCATGGCCTCCCTCTGTGCCTTCCGTGTTGGGACCGGCTCAGAGTGGCGAGCAGTCCGGCTCTGGCCTCGGCATCGCGGAGAACTGCAGCCGCTGTGGCGGGTCCGAGACACCTCACAGACTCTGCGCCGGCCAGGCGGTTGCCCCCGCGTAATCGCCAGCCGCGCCCCACCTCGCGCCAACCCTGCGCCTGCGCGGAAGGGCGGGGGGGGGGGCGTAGTGGGCGGGGCGTGGGGCGGGGCCGTCACCTGCCGCTGGGGGAGCGGGAAGATACGAGGTGGGGTGGGTGTGCTTGAGGAGCGCTGGGGTTGGCGTTAATTTACGTCCGCCGAGGCTCCCCCATCCAACCTAGGTCAGTCTATCCTACACTGCAGAATTCTTTCGTAGAATTTACCACAATCCATACCTACACATTTATTTCTGTGACTAACATTTGTTACAACTACTACAAGCCCACGAGAGTAGGAACCTTGTCTTTTGTTCAGACATTCTGGACTTTGGTTATTTGTATTTTGTCTCTCCCACCTCCCCACAACTAATTTAGCTAGAAGTTTTTTGGGGGGAGGGGATGAAATATTTTAATCTGACGGCAGCACATAATACTGTATGGTGAGCACACCCAGTTCCAGGAGATCCCCTCCAGGTTAGAAGGAAGTTCTCAAAATTAAGTGAATTTGTGAGAGCCCGGCCCCCTGCTCAGCGGAGGGAGAGGGAACGGAATGAACAAAGCATGGAGGTCTGCCCTCCTGTCACTCGTCATAGATCCAGCTCTGAGCGCAGCTCTTGTAATACTCCAGCTCTTCAGGCTGGAACCATAAGCCAATCTCCTTCTCCGCACTCTCCACGGAGTTGTTGCCGTGGATAATGTTCCTGCCAACTTGGATGCAGAAGTCCCCACGAATGGTCCCAGGTTGGTCTCCCCAAGCATCACTTGGCCCGTCTTCACCACGTTCAGGCCCTCCCAGACCATGGCAACCATGGCCCCTGACTGCATGTACTTGACCAAGCCGGCAAAGAAGGGACGGTCCTTCAGGTCGATGTAGTGCTCCTTGAGAAGGTCTTCAGAAGCCTGAATTAATTTCATAGCAATGAGGCGGAATCCCTTTTGCTCAAAACGCTTGATGGTTTCTCCCACGAGGCTGCGCTGGAACCCATCAGGCTTGATGGCAATGAAGATGCGTTCACCGTTGCCATGGTCCCCTCCAGCTGCTCCGGCTGCCTAGCGAGAAGTTTATCATTTTAAAAAATCTTTTCAAAAAGCCCTCTTTTGGTTCCACTGATTTTTTGCTCTCTAGTTCATTGATTTTTTAGATTTATTATTTCCTTCTTGCTACTTAATTTGAATTTGATTCCTCTTGTTTTGCCAACTGCTCAGAGTAGAAGAGTGTATTATTGATTCTGGACCTTTCCATTTTTAAAAAATAGAAGTATTTAAAGCTATGTCTTTCCCTCTATCCCCTGCTTTATCTGCATTCACAATTTTTGTTATTTTGTATTTTCATTTTCATCATTTCAAAATATTTTTTTTAATTTCCCTTATGGTTTCTTCTTAGACTCATTTCTTTGAAATGTGTGTGTAATTTCCAAATATTTAGGTGCTTTTCTAATTTAATTCTGTTGTGGCCAGAGAAGATAAACCAAGATTTCAAACTTTTTCAAAATTTATTGAGGCATTTCATATCCTAGCATGTTACCTGCCTTAGTAAACAGTCTATGTGCTCTTTAAGAAGAATGTGTATTCTGCAGGTGAGTGATTCTGTAACTGATGATTATTTCTATAAATATCAGTTCGGTATTGATCATGTCATTCCCATGAGTTATACCTTTATGGATTTAAAAAAAAATTTTTTTTATTTACTTATTTATTTGAAGGAGAGAGGAGAGCAGGGGGAGAAGCAGAGGGAGAGGGACAGGCAGACTTCAGGCTGAGCACAAGCCCCACGTGGGGCTCAATCCCTGGACTCTGAGATCATAAACCCAGCCAAAATCAAGAGTCAGATGCCTGACTGATTGAGCCACCCAGGTGCTCCTATCCTTATGGATTTTATATTTAGTTGTTCCATCACTCATTGAGATGAGGGTTACATTCTATGATTGTAGATTTGTCTATTTCTTCTTTTAGTTTGTTGAAGTTTTGCTTTATATATTTTTGAAGTTGTGTTATTAGGTGCATACACAGGATTTTTATGTCTTCAGTTGGGTTTTTATTTCTACCTGATGATTTTATTTGATCCTTTCCTTTCTTTCCTTCTTTCCTACCTACCTTCCTTTCTTTCTTCCCTCCTTCCTTCCTTTTATAATGAACTGTCCCTCCTTATCTCTTGTAATACTCGTGCCTTGAAGTCCATATTGTTTGATAGTAATATAGCCACTCCACTTTTCTTAGGCTTACTGTTTGCCTGATAAATCTTTTTCCACCCTTTTCAATCAATTTGTCTCTTTATGTGTGCATGTTTGTAAATATGCATCTCCTGTAATAGCTTATAGTTGGTAATAAAATCTTGATTTTATTATTATTTTATTATTTACATTTAGTCTGATAATTTCTGGCTTTCATTTGGAGTTTTTAGTCTACTTATTTTTAATGTAATATTGTAGTTGGACTTAGATTTACTGTCATTTGCAATCATATTCTATATGTTTAATCCTTTTTTTGTTCTTCTGTGTGTCCCTTCTTGCTTTCTTTTGGGTTAATCATTATTTCTTCATACTTCATCTTAAGTCCTCTATTGGCCTTCTGCTAAACCTCTTTACATTAATTTTGAGTGCTTATTCTAGCACTTACTGTATACATCCTTAAATTATCTCAGTGTGCATACAGTTTATATTGTAGTACCTGATGTAAAATGTGAGAACCTTGAGAAAGTGTTGCTCTATTTATCTCCCATCCTTAATGACATCATTATTATTGTCATATATTAGATCCACATATGTTTAAATATAGTCAATAATTTTTGTCTTGAATAATTACATGTCTTATAAAGAAATTAAGAAAACAATGTATACTGTTTTATATTTACCTACAAATTTGCCATTTCCAATGCTCTTTTTTTTTCCTAAGTGCTCTTCATTCCTTTCTGAGGACCCAAGTTTCCAACTAGTATAAATTCCCTCTGAAGAATTTTTTTAAAAGCATTTCTTGTAATAGACATCAGCTGGTGATAAATTTTAAGTTTTCAATTATCTGAAATTATCTTTATTTCACCATCATTTTAAAAATATACTTTCTCTAGATAAAGAATTCTGGATTATGTTGTCCCTCTGCTCCCCCTCCAAGTTCAAGTCTAAAAATGTAATTTCATTGTCCTCTACCCTTCATTATTTCTGAATTATGTCCCTCCACCCATGCACCCAGGTTGCACTATGTCATTTTTTTCTAGATGCTTTTAAGATTTTTTCTTTATCCTTGCTTTTTCAATAATTTCACCATGATGCTCTTGATATAAATTTCTCCCTCTCTCTCTCTCTTTCTCTATATATATCCTGCTTGAGTTTTGCTTGGGGTTCTTGGATCTGTAGGTGTATGTATTCCAACAAATTTGGAAAAATTTCAGCCATTATTTTTTCAAACTTTTTCCTGTCACATTCTGGGATTCTCATTATATATATATATATATATATATATATATATATATATATATATTACACTATTTGATAATGTCATAAAGATCAATAGGGCTGTATTAATTTTTTTCAATCTGTTTTACAGATCATATAATTTCTCTTAATCTGTTTTTAAATTTGCTAAACCTTCAGCCATTTCTAATTGACTGTTAAACCCACCCAGTGGGTGTATTTTCAAATTTTGTGCTTTTCAGTTCTAAAATTTCCATTTGACTCTTTTTAAAGAGTTTCTATGTATCTGTTAACATTTTCCATCTGTTAATTTATTATGACTATATATATTTTTAAATCCTTGAGTATATGTAAAGTGTTTGAAAATCTTTGCTAATTCTTATATCTGAGTTATCTTAGAGTCAATTTCTATTGCTTACTTTTTTTCTTGACTATGGGTCAAATTTTCCCTTTTTTTTTACATATTTGTTATTTTTTAAATTGTATATTAGATTTTGTGGATGATATATTGTGGAACCTCTAGATTCAATTTTCTCCCTCTGATGAGTGTTGATATATTCTAGTATGTAGTAAAGTAATCCAGAGTCAAATTCCACCTGAAATTTTTGATCATTTCTTTCAGCAATCTTGATGTTGTATTTTCCTGGGCTCCTTGGAGTCTCCCTCATGCACTGAGTTCAGGAGTCATCCAAGGATTTGGGTAAGGTGTATGTGTAGATTTTGGAGTTCTCTCCCTCTGTTAGTCCTTCCTTTTCAGGATTTTCCTCCTCCATTTCTAGGTGTTCTGGTAGCCCCACACTCTAACCTTAAGCCATTAGGATTGTGGCTTTCTGATTGACTTCCAGGTGCTGTTCACAGTACAGACTGAGTAATCCTCCCCCCCCTATGAAAAGAGGTATGGGCATAAATCATACTTGTTGTATTTCAATTCTTTGAAGAACAGCCATCCTTTCAATTACTGCCTGCCTGCTTTTGGTTGCTTTCCAGTATCTTCAAATAATTGTTTTTGTATTTTCCCTAAAGTTTAGCGTTTTTATCCATAAAGGGGTTAGTCTGGTACAACCTCCTTTGACGTATTTTATTGGAAACGTATCCTTTAATGAGATAAATGGTACCATATTTTTGTCAGTAGTTTACATGTTAGTACTGGACTCTTACTTATTGCTTGATAAGGCAGGATTCAGCATCAGTTCTATTTGCAGTTTTAGTTTTTATAGACATAAATGCTGAGAAAATCTGTTGAAATAAATAGATGAATATGGGAAACATTTTATAATAGCAATGTCACTCAAATCTTTGATCTTTCTTTCAAAATATGTACCAAAGATCACAGAATATTTTATCTTATTACCAAAAATTATTTTTATGATTAATCATCACATACCTAATTCAGGTCCTCCTTTGAATTTTTTACTTTCTCAATTTCTGGAAAATATATCAAAAAGGCTTTTAAAAACATATCCAATTATTAATAATTGCACTGTAACTCTTTCACTTCAAGGCACCTTATCTTTTAACTCATAATATGATACTATTTGCCAAATATAAATATAAATA